AGACACGCGTTTCCAAGCTCGTAACATTCTCTCTTAAACGTCTCTGAAACGTGAGCAGGGCAAATGTAACACCGGTACCCGTTATAATCTTTTCATCTGACAGCTACACTACACTAAACACTTTCCAGCAACATTGCTGCCCTTGCTATGCACGCATACAAACTGAATATACCCGTACGGGCATGCTTTTTAGTAGAACCTGTCCAGTCTCCCCTTGGTACGCTTTCGTTCTTTTAACGCACCGACGAATAAACGATGTCGCCGTTTCAAGCTGAAACACTTTCTGATCCTCATTCACCGATGCGAAGTCCAGTTAAGGACCCTTGAGTATACGTCGGAATGCACACGAGTGATCCACCATGGCAGCTATCGCTTGAAGCGGGAAAATGCTTAAACACCGTAACGCATTTAAGTCGGAGATTATATTATTTCCCAATCCACCTCTTAGCAATTCAACCAACACCCTTAATTAATAATAACCATTCACTCGCTTCCGATGGCCCTAATTTTAAGTCCAACCCCATACAACCGTGTGTACCACAATCACACTGTCGAAAGATTATTGATCGCAATTGGCGGATCCGGCGCTCCCCTGACGGTCAGGTTAGGAGACCGTGCTCCACATATGGTCGGTGATCAGCAGGCGGCTTTACGTTTCTTTAGCGGACAACAAGCAACTTTGCCTTGGTGAAGGAGCAGAGAAGGTGATATCGTGACCTAAGAGCTGTTAATGTGAAGATAAACGCCATGGGTTGCAACGCGGAACTAGGTTGATGTGTGTATGATGATAGTTTGAATGCACCTTAAAGTGCGTTGGCGGATTCAGGCGCTGCCATGGCTGTCGGCGATACTGCTGCTTTCCGTGCTCTCTTCCTTTAGCGCGTGTACCGAACTTTTGAGAAGTACGAAAGTGACCTAAAGCGCTTTTAAATGCGTACTGCATCCTTTTTTCAATTTAGATGTCTTGACTTCGGTGGCGTATAGGAGGAAAACCGGGAAAGAGATACCTGAGGGTGTGCCGTACAGATCCGTACACTATAGACGCGTGCCTTGTCCCCGAAGAGGATACACGTGCAAGCGGTTAGTTCACATGTGACGTTTGTGAGACGCTTATTAACTTTTGGTACAAAAGTTATAACTGCAAGGAGCTGTAAATACCTGATCATGCCTCAATTTGCGTGCCTCGTATAGCCGAGAATTATATATATATATATATACATATATGTATATACATATATATTAATATGCATATATATATTACCATACCGCATAACGGCTGGTGCTATGACATAGTGTCCTACAGCGTTGGGCACAGCCATAACTTTCATGTAGACAAGCCGTTTCTCTATGGCGCTAACAGACGGCTCCCGCGGCACGCGGAAGAAGATATCTATCGTATGATGCAGTCGTTCAAGGACCTACGCGAGCTCAAGAGGTGTGCGTTGACGCACTACGATAGAAGGTTGAACCGTTACGACCTCCGACCATAAGAAATAAGATGAGGGGTTAGGTTGAGGGGAACTCGACGGAATCTTGATACATTTGCTTGAGAGCTTCGGCCAATATAATGTGGAGCATGAGGAGTCGGAGGTAAAGTTCATATTTTTCGTTCGCAGGTAGGTACGTGACGTCGTGGAGCTTTATAGTGAGGTACGGCTTGAACAAGACACAGGCAACGTTTAGTGCCCATTCCGGATTCGTCAGTCCGTCAGAGCATGAAATGAAGGCACTTCGTTTTAGAGAGTTGCTCACGAAAGCCGCCAGGATGTGTAAGCCTACAAGGAAGCGTCGCCGCCATGCAAGATTCCCAGCCAATTACGGCAAGGACAAGTACGGTTACGTCACGTACGCTTACCGCAGTAACGGGATCACACATTATGGGGTGGTCAGGTGTACTTAAGGACATCGCAAGCATCCGCAATTCCACCGCGATTTGGTGATGCACATTTACTTATACGTCTCTTCGTGACAGCCGCATCTTCTAAACAACCTGAAGAAACATTGCGCTTCGCGAGACACCAGGATAACACGCATTTACAAGGTAAGAAGCACGCTTGACGTATGATACCTAGTACATGTGCTCCTTGCGCTCACACTGCATTGTTGATATCATATTACCTCTCAGCTGCTTAGTGATCCGCCGCGTGGGGATGAGTGTGAATGACCTCACCCATACGTGCATGAGCATTTTGCCTAAGACTGAACGGATTATCCTTTCCTTTACCTTGCGTGCCGCTTCCACCTAAACGGGCAATCCATTCATCCAATAGGGCGAATGGACACTACCGCGAATCGTCGGCCACGCGTGCACCATGTCGTAATGGTGCATTTGCCCATGCGGAAGTTTGGATCGGGGGAATTAGCTTTCAGTTTCGTCGCCATGCCCTGGGATCGAAGGCCGCCTTCCACAGCAGTCTTCCTGTCGAGACTTTGTCCCGGCCGGCCATTAGTCGGCGTTCCCCACCAGAAGGGCGGCCCCCGTAATAAACTGGTGGGCACATTTGGGCAGTTGTGTTTGCGAGACCGCTTGGGAACCCGTAAAGGTACACGAACGCAACATTCTCAGTGAAGGACGCCGTACATCGAGTTCGGCAGTGCATTGCTGAATCAATGTTCGTGAACCAAGGAAGGTGAAGCTGGACACAGACCGGCGTGCGAATAGTGTGCGGGTCTACGTACCTCGATACGTCGTTGCTGAATACGTGGGAGCAGCCGGGCACCGAGTAGAAAGACGTGCCGGGGGCCGGCGTCATGGACGTGTTGAGGAGGACGCGTGGGAGCGTTCGTCCCGATGTCGCTCCCGAAGCGGCTGACAACGATAAGTCTCATGACTCCCTAATGATGGCGAATAGGATCCAGCAACGCGAGTCCGTATCGATTGGCCAGCGCCGATATACAGTGCGCCGGTGGCAGCCATGTGGAGCCGTATTTGCAGGCTTTTCGCCGAATTGTGCTCCGGAGTGTGCCCAGGGGGCCCCTGATGTCGAAGCCGGGCACCTACCTAAGCCTGCGGGCGGCGCGACGCCCATTATGGCGGGGTGTAGTAAAGATCGCGGAGACGAGAGAAACACCATAGCGATTGGAGTGGCGGGGGGTTACCAACCCTACGGAGGACAGGTGGTCAGGAGAGTGAGAGAGCAGGCTGATAGGGCTGAGGTGGGGTGAGCGGTATGGGGGGGGGGGTTGAGGGAACGGAGGAAGTGCGGGGGCGACGGCTGGTCAGGCGTTGAGGGGTGGAGGGTCGGGGGAGAGTGGGACCAGAGTATGGGTAAGGCTTTGTTTAGTTGAAATTATCGGCTAACTTGTTCGGCGCCCACGGGGTGATTAGAAACTCCGCGGTCTTGAAGGTTGTGTTTCTAGCAACTAACGACGGGTAACTGAGGCGACTTTGGTGTTGGCCCCCCCGGTCCGCACGCAGTCCCTCCCCCACAACAGGAGCACGCTTCTTGGTACGGCAACACCGAGGGTTCACCATGCCTTGCCACCCAGCGGATCACACACGCGCAAAATTGTGGAATTGGCCTGGTGTATAGTGAGGTCGTGCCAACGGATACACAACCGACCAACACCCAGCCCGCGTAACATTTTTAAGGGTCTCACCCCCCCCTTGCCCAAACCCATCACGGGCCACAAAATTCAGCAGTGATACGGCATCACACCCCCACAGTTGTCCCCCTTGTACAGAGTGATTCGGTTTGGCACCAGGGCGAGCCCTTGGTGTTATAGCGGCCCCTCTCCCTATTATGGACGACGAGCCGGTTCTTAGTGGATCGCTGTTCCTTATACATGACGAATAAACCGTGGTCATATCGATTTCCCGTGCTATGCCAGGGCCTTCTCCCACATCGCGTTCGCTTGGCATAGCGCCCGTAGAATGAGGGTGTGATGGGCCAAGGGCGGACATCTAGAGTACTGGCCATGGATGCAGGGCGACAGGCGGCGCGTGACCCCGTGTGGATGTGAGCCGTTCAATAACGTCAGATCAGATTAGTATGCCTGACGTTGTACCCCGTGAGCAGAAATACGGACGCTCACTGTGTTGCGAGAATACGCGTCGGGAGTCGGGGGACACACGGGATGAAACTGCAACGTGGGTCGCCTGTGGTGCGCGAAGTTAAAGTCTCGTCCACTCTCGGCTTGTACTCCCAGAAAACAAGGACCGGGGGCACCCCTCCCACCACTACACACGGATGCACGAGCAGGTCGACCTGGGCGAGGGGACGAATGCCCGTGCACGGCATCCAACCAGGGGGTGGATGGCAAACTCTTTGGGCCATCGTGACCGGTTTCCTCTGCACGGCACCCCGGAATGGAGTTAGGGAGATCGTACGGGCCATCAGTGGTCTACTCCCCGTCCTTCCAAGCGGGGGCGTAAGCTGGATGTGCACCAGGAATAGACCGGTTTTCTCACGCGTATGCATGGAAAGAAAACATTGAGATGACATCCCCGCCCCCCCGTTCCATAACACCGAAGACCTGCAATTGTTATGCTAACCTATGCGGAAAGAGTCCACGAGAGGAAACCGAATCCGAAACCCAGAGCTTGGCTCTGTCCAGGAGAGACGCGCATTCTGTACACGCGTCCCTGTGAGTAGGTGGGGTTCTTACCCATACTCCCCCCGGCCTCATGAATCCGACGCCGCACACCCACTATCCAGGATTCCATGGCCCCAGAAAGAGTGGTTCCTCTCCCCCCCGACTACCCCGTGCACGATGAGACTTATCTTACTAGTCAGATTCCTCAACATGCCATGGTCCCGCGGTAAAGAATATGGTCTTCTGTTTCCTTGACTTTGAATAAAAAAAATGCCACCCGCGATCATATTTGCTATCGTCCCATGCAAATAAATATCTAATCCGGGATTATTATGACTATAAATTAAAATGGCGAAACCGAGTCAACAAGTGAAAAGTTCCCAAATATCACCGGCCGTCCCCAATCCGAGGTTGATGATCACGGTCTTCCCGGGCCCCCGGCTACATAATTTAGAGGCGGTTGCCTATATTCCGGCGAGCACAAGAGCGGAGGAGCCCCCCCCCCCCCCCCCCCCCCCCCCCCCGATCCCCCGCCCCACCCACCCCCGCCCCCAGACGAGCCCAGAGCTTCCAGAAGACCGGATCGTCGTCCCCGGACAGGGCCGACGTTTAGGCGTGTGCCGACCTGCGGGAAGATTCTTTTGTGGAAAAGGGGGTGACGTGACGAATTGGTCTCCCATTATACCGACACCCAGTGCGACGCTCTAGATTGCACGGAGACTCAGAAATCTCTGCCAACCAAGCACACACGAGCAACACAATGTTCCGCTCCACCCGCAGTCTGCATTCCCTAAGTCCTGCGCTACTCACCGTGTAGCCAACGAAAATAAATATGCGCGATGGATGTGATATACGGGGTTGGAAACATGGAGATTCCATCGATGATTGATAGCACGGATCTATACTCCTATACTCCCGGCCGGGACCGACTTAGTGGGTCCATGCTCTGTTATGTTCCCTCGCCGGGGACAGTACTTCGTGTATTTTTCTACTATAGACCTTTCTAAGCAAAAGCGCCGAGAGTTGAGCACTGCACTGCAGTTATGACCATTCGGGCTAGACAACCCTATCAGAACCCCCCTCCGAAGGGCATATGGCAGTTACCGACGGTGACTATGGGGGCCCGTGTATGAGTACGTAGCTCGTCCGGGTGTCCGCCCGATGAAGTGGGGGGCCGGGATTCGGGACAAGCGCCTCGGTGGGTGCGGGTAGGGGCCCAACCCGCGTCGGTGCGAGCTTAGGCGTTCCCTGGCGCAAAGGGGTCTGGTCTCTTCCATCGTTCAGTTGGGTGTGCGTTGTGGTTGGAAATCTGAGGGTCGGGAACAAAGGATGAGTCATCATCTTCTGTATGGCCCCCAAACGAGAAATAACCGGTACGTAGGAGGTATGGTAGTACGTGTCGTCCTGACAACGTACGGGCACCCTCGGGGGTTCGACGCCGCGCGTCAGTTATCAGTTCGCTTAAGGGATCCTGAAAAACACTCTGTTGTTTATGTGAGGTTCGTACGCCACACCCGGAACAAACAAAATGGGAGTGGTCATAGGCTCGTGCGGGTAACAGGACGGGGGTTTAGGATACGACGCATTCTGAGGGACAAAGAAGGTAAGGTCCGAGGAACAAGGCAGTGACGATGCCTGCCGTAGTACTTTCGATAGCTCATGAAGTATGGAGGTGTTGGGAAACCTATCCTGGAAGAAGAAGTTAGAAGGTTATTGCGGGGGTTGACAATCGTTTGGAACAGATTAAAGACATCGAGCACCGTAATTCTGTACGAGTATAACTTGGATCCCCCCCTCTCGCACATAGGTAGTCACTCGAGCCCCGTGAATGTGTCGGTGCGGAAAAGGTAAACCGGCTTGGGGGTCCTATGGGGGATGGACCCCATCACTCACACCCCCCCCACCCCCACCCCACTGAGGGGATGCGTGGGAGGGTGGATTAAGATATCGGCACCGCGGGGTGGTGAGAGCGCCCCAGGGGAAAGAAATACATCCACCCGCGAGGGTCCACAACGCGCGCGTTGAGATCAGAGCATTACTATATAGAATGTGGTGGTCAAGCGATGACTTGATATAGCATGCTAAATGGCATGTTTATAGGGGGGGGTATATCGGTTGGCTAGGTTAGGAACTTAGGCTAAAGGCTCAGTGGGAAGGCTTGAGCCTTGGATTCATCTACATAGTCATTACCCGGTGCTCGATGTCTTATAATTCGTCCCAATCAATTGGAATATAAATTACCTTTTCTCACCATATTATTCCATGAACTTGCTCATCCTTATATCTATTCCACGTGTGAAATCATATAGAAGCTTACCACCCTAGAACGTTCGCAAGGATCTCTTTGGAGGAACATGATATAAGGGTATATTCGTTCGGGATATTTTATCCGATTCTAGGTGTTCTTAGGGCAAGGAACATGGTGCGACTTTCTTTCGACGTTTATCAAAGCGCCCGATGGTCAGAAACGCCAACGTTCTGTCTAGTTTCGTAAGGGGTGGGTTGCACAAGAGTTCTATCTGAGTTAACTGGTTATAGATGGGGTTGTAATTTGGATGTAGAATCTGTGGAGGGCATCGGTAAAAATCGGGTAAGCCACGGCTGACAGTTTTATCTTGATGTAAGTAATGAGGGTTCCAATATGCTTATGACGAACTCATCGGAATTGGTTTTTTTATAGTGTTAGTTTACACAGTCGATACTTCATGTATATAACGTGGCCATAGCGTTCGATTTGCCATCCTTGGTACCTTAGCACGAGACGAAGTCTGTAGCCCTGTCTGGTGTCGGGACACGGGGTTACGTGTGGAATTAGCGTACAATATTTGAAGGGAATTAGTAAACTTAGGCCATAAACCGGGGTGGTTCTGATCGAATAAATGCTTGGCTGTGTGTCAGTTTGATTTTAATACATGTGTGATACTAGCACCGTGTTTTGCTTGGCGCTTCGCTTCGGTTGCAACGCGCGACCTGATCGCGTGAATGATCGTGCTTGATTCTGTTCCACTAGCCCTAGTGCGTACTCACCCCGGTGTCGTTATTTATAGCTAGAGAATCAGGGTATCTTTTGATGTACACATTGTATCTTTGGGTGCACTCGCATTTATCGTGAAAGGAACGTAGGGATTAACAGATGAGCGGGCGGCGACACGGTTGTGGACTTACCAAAGCAGTTTAGGTGCGGACCCAAGTAGCCGGGGATTAAGATGAGAAAGGTGTGGGGGTTAGGGGAGAGGGGTAGGTGAGAAGGGAATGGAAGTGGGGGATGTGCGGGAAGGGGGTCGGGGTGCTGACGGGTAGGCAGTGGGGTAGAGGATGGGAGCGGGATTTGCATGGATGCGGTCACGACAATTTTGGGAGTAGTGAGTGGCGGAGGGGCGGGTGAGCGAGAACTGGGAACTACACGTGGGGGGTCCGGGATCATGGGTTGGCGGGATCCGTAGCGTTTTTGAGGCCGAGGTTGTCAACCCAAAAGAATACACTTCCGTACACTACGCCGTATGTATTCGCATAGCTCCTGTCCGAGTCTCCACCAAGGTGATATCAATGCCAGGTTCGTGACCGTCATCTTTTCTCAGACCGACAAATACGCCTAGGAGGCATCTCAAGGGAAGCCACGGATTAAGGCGTAGTTATTGCCCTCCTGAGTGGAAAGTTCGCTGCAGCCAGCCTATTTCAGGGGATCGGCAAATAGTGGGCGACCTTTTAGGACCGATTAACGGTGTAGGGTGTGTGGATCTCATAGAAGGGGTTCGTCTAATAAATTGGTAGTGTCTTGTACCGGAGCCGAACACCTAGGGCTACATTCGGGCTCACCGGGAAAACTCGCAAGCCGTGGCGCGCCTACCCTAGTGAGCTCCGTTTCGATCACTCAACCTAGCAAGACTTAGCGGGATAGAGTTATTGAACGATTCTCTGCCATCACCGGTACACGACGCCTGATATGATGAAGGCCAGTCGGAGCTAACCTGGGCTCAGTCTTGCCTCTGGATGTATGGAAATATCAAGTTGTTGCCCGGCATTTGCTATTTGGGGCGTATAGTTGGAGGATTTGGGAACTTTCTGGCCATGATCGTGGTTAAAAAGAGGAGGATCTTGAGTGGGTTTTTAGACACGAGCTATTATGCCAGTTGGGAAGATTACTTAAGGAATTGAGAGAAGGTTGGGGAAAAAAATTCGGGGGGGGGAAAAGCTGGCAACGGTTTGGTTGAATAGCCTTGCATCGTGTGCCGAGAAAGAAGCTGGGAAATAACACTCGGACGTTCCATATACGGAGACGGGCACGCACGTCACACGAGCACAACACCTAATTGAGAAGCTAGAAGAGTGCGGGTATGTTTCGGCCGGAAACGTCGGGGGACGATATGCGACCACTGGAGGCGGCGATAGTTAGCGTTTTACCCCGTGGCCCACCATCCGAGGTCCGTCTCACCTTCGCCGACCATAGCTTGCCGTGCCGCCATTGGCCACACAAACCCCCTAATCGCCATCTTTCGGACGATATTGCGGCGTTCGCCGCTTAAAGGTGGGCATAATGGCAGTATAGGGGAGAGGGACGGGGTATAGAGAGGCCAGTGAGGACGGGGGAGGACTGATGTGGATGGTGTAAGGGAGGATTAGCCGGCGTCCGCTGCCAGTCGGTACGACGTTCTTTGGTTGTTGTCCCAGGTAGACGTAGAACATGGTACAAATGCGCAGTAGTAGCAGGGCCTGAGACATTACGTGGCGCGAGTGAATCGAAATAGGACAGATTCGGATTCACGATTGGACCGAGATATAGAAAGGGGAGACGTTAGCGGTCTGCATTGCACCCTTATCTCGTTTCGCGTTCCCCTGATACCGAGTTGGCCTCATGTGTCCGTACAACCAGCATCTAGTTGCTACTGTATGATATTTGGGACAATACGGGGGAGGAACGAACTCGAAGATCGTGACAGGTCTTGACTCATAAGCATCGCTAAGGCCGGACAAGGCCGGATGCAAAAACTGCTACGTTACGGGGTATAGCCATCACGAAACGGCAACTTTAGGCACCACTTGAGGGATAGCTACTCGTACTATGGGGGGACGATGTTGTTACGGGCGTAGGGAGAAAGTGGGGGGTTGGTCTGGGATAGGTTAATTTAGGACAGGAAAAGGTTTTTGTAAAGTGACAGACTAAGCCGATCGGTAACAGCGGAAAGCCCCCTGCGAGTGGAGCGGATAGGATCATGCGGCATGATTTGGAGTCTGTGGGCGCGCCTACCTTCTGATATCCTGTGGCAGCCAGTCGACATTGCTAAAAACGGCTGTCATTACACCCATTCGGCCTTTTCGAGTAACCTCAGATTGACTTTCGGCATAAGACAAACGCTATGAACCAAATTTGCAGCGTTTAAGTTTGAGGTAACGCCTGTGCGGACGCGAAGGCGTTTACCCATTATTTTGATTGAATTTTCTACTACAGCCTGCTCTGTCCTCGATAGCAGGAGATGCTTACGTAAACATCGAAGCGAGAGTCATAGCGCTTTAAACCAGCTTGAGGGGTATTACCGTCAAACCCCCGAGAAATGCGAGCCTTGGCCCTAAGCTACCAATCAGACTTTCTTGGCCACCGCATGTCCTGCCGCTGGTTATTCGATAAAGCTACTGCCTGAACCACTATTTCCAAGCGCATGATGGCTACTACCCGGCGACACGGGCAGTTTCATTGCCTGCAGTTTCTGCCACGAGATCCGGGCTTGGCCTGGCTGCATACTTATTATCTAGACTCGCTTTATTTCATATCTGCCGCCGAAGCCTATTCGCTCCAAACCATTGGAATGACTCTCCGGACTTGCTGCCGCGTGTAAAACGAGCGGTCTTTTTTCACTTTTACAGACGACGCTAAAGTGTCTTTCGAGAAGCTCAAAGACGCTATCTCCAACATAGCGCTTCTCGCCCATCCAGACACATCTGCACCACTCTCCCTGACAACTGACGCATCCGACACTGCCGTCGGTGCAGTTCTTCAACAACTCATCGACCATCGATGGATACCTCTAGGTTTCTTCTCAAAGCGCTTACAACCTGCCGAATCGCGTTACAGCACCTTCGGTAGGGAACTGTTAGCTATCTACCTAGGTATCCGACATTTCCGTCACTACCTCGAAGGTCGACATTTCACCGTCTTCACCGACCACAAGCCATTGATCTACGCAATCAATGGCGCAACGGACAAGTACTCGCCGCGGGAAACTAGACACCTAGACTACGTTTCTCAGTTTACGACAGACGTACGTCATGTCTCAGGTGCTCTCAATCCCGTCGCGGATGCGCTTTCACGCATTCAGCAGATCAGCTTATCGCCTGGCACCAACATTGATCTAGCCGCTATGGCTGCTGCCCAACAAGCTGATCCCGACATCAGACAAACTACGACGCAACACCTCGTTAAAACTACGTGAAGTCCCACTAGCTTCATCTGAGGGGACCATTCTTTGTGACGTCTCACAAACTTCTCCCCGACCCGTAGTTCCTACCTCAATGCGTCGACTAGTTTTCAATGCTTTACACAACCTGTCTCATCCCGGCATACGTGCTTCGCAGAAGCTCGTAACGGAACGCTTCATATGGCCCAACGTCAATCGCGATGTCCGCCTTTGGGCACGCGCATGCTTAGAGTGTCAGCGCGCCAAGGTCTACAGACACACCAAAAGCCCACTTGGCGTCTTTCCCGCTCCTGACGCTCGTTTTGCACACGTCCATGTCGATCTGGTCGGACCTTTGCCTCCATGCAAAGGCTACGTGTACCTACTCACCTGTGTCGACCGATTCACTCGTTGGCCAGAGGCGATTCCGTTAGTCAACTGCTCATCTGAGACAGTTGCGCAAGCTTTCTTAGAACGCTGGGTAGCTCAATTCGGTTGCCCAAGCGTAGTCATCACTGACAGAGGATCACACTTTGACGGATCCTTCAGCAAATTGCTCAACGTTCTTGGTTGCCAACATAACCGAACCACCGCATACCATCCCGCAGCTAATGGGATGGTAGAAAGGTTCCACCGGCAACTCAAAGCCTCACTCTGTGCCCAATCTAGCACATCCTGGCACGAAGCACTTCCGCTCGTTCTCTTAGGCATAAGAAACACGATTAAAGCGGACTTGCACGCCACTCCATCGTCGCTAGTCTTTGGATGCGCACAACGCTTACCTGGTGAACTCGTCTCACCAAAAGCGCCAACAACTTTCGACTATGGCGACTACGCAGCTCGCCTATCTCATCACATGCGACAGCTTCAGCCTGTGCAACCCAGAGCACAGAGCTTGCGTACAAACGTGGACGAACGGTTAACTACTTGCACGCACGTGTTCGTTCGCACTGACAGCGTACGCCGACCACTTCAACCTCCTTATTCTGGTCCGTACCGTGTCGTACGTAGATCGAAGGACTGCTTACACAGTCCCTTCTGGGAGAGGGCTATGTAGCAGTCTGGAGATTCCCCGGTTTGCTTGTGTAAAATTCTAACCAAAATTCTTTAATTGTACACTTAGGCAACCGGTGTGGTTTGTTGAACTGCTTGCTGAGTTCGAATGCTTTACTTGCTCATCGCCATTTTTGCTTGGCGCTCGCTTCGGTTGCAACGCGCGACTGCTCTGTGTGCTGTGCTTGATCTGTTCCCCTAGCTAGAGCGTCCACGGTGTCGTTCATTTATAGCTAGCTAACAGGGAATCTTTTGCTGAACCAATAAAAGTTTCCCTGCAACTCGATCCGTCTTCTCGAATCGCTCTCTGGGCTCCCGGAATAGGCAACCCTCTAAAGTCTTTCCCTAGAGAGACAGTTGTCCGTCTCTATAGCACTTTAGTACGTCCGCTGCTGGAGTACAACATACTTGTCCAGCCGCCGTACTGTACAGCGCAGAGCCACTAAGAGAGTGGACGGACTATCCCACTTCTCGTATGAGGAGCGTCTGGCGGCCCTTAACCTCTTCCCGTTGAAATATCGCAGGCTTCGTGGCGACCTTATCTTAGTTTATTCCGTTTTGACTAAAAACTGACACCCAAACGCAGGATTGCTGGTCCGCGCCCGTACAGATCATCTTCGAGGGCACTCACTCAAACTGATGACTCGTAGCAGTCGCCTTCTGTGCCGAAGAAACAGTTTCCGTGTGCGTACTGCCTTCGCTTGGAACGCCCTCCCCGAAGCTGTTGTCTCAGCGCCCAATACGGAGGCCTTCAAACAGCGCCTAGACGCTTGGCTCTTACCTCGCTGGTCTTCGACGTTGCTAAGATCTGGCCATTTGCCAAGCTAACACGCGGCGCTTCCATCATTTTGCTTCTATCCAACTTTGCCGAATTTACCTACACCACACTCTTGTTCCAGGTATCCACGTTCCCACAGTCAACTCTCTGAATTCTTGTGCTGAGCACCACTACTGCGTCGAGACCCACAACATCTGGTACCTA